TACCAGGCATGTATCTACCTACATTAATAATTGAATAGAGTGTCCCCTCTACAGGAAAGGGCATCCAGTTTAACTGTCTGGCTCAGCTATATATTGGAATGATATTTTAAAGTGACAAAGGAGGGAAATCTAGGTGAGATTTCAGTTGTGAGAAAATGCTATTAGATGTGTGTTTAAAGCCAGTCTTGAAATAATCAGAGAAGTGCTCAGAGGAAAGAGAATCTGAAAATGCCAGTGGTGACTTGTCTGCCTTGCATCAGTCTCTCACCAGTGTGCCATGCTAGTGATCCGATATTGAACAATGGCGGTGAGGCACCTAACTCCTTTGGGAGCCTCTGAAAATCCCAGCTGCCTTGTCCATCACACTGCAGTAAATGATAAAGCTATAACTGCAGCATTAAAAAGCCTTTAAAATAATTGTTTCCATCACTTGTTTTCATCTCACTAAGGTATTACTTGGTTTGAATTTACTCTTAACTGGTTGGTCAGTGTCTCTATCCTAGAATTGCTTACATGGGACACTGTCCTCATTTAACATTTTATACCCATTTATCAATTCTGTAAATTACTACATCAGGTGCCAGACAGGGAAGACCTGAGCCATTGTGCTCAGTTAGTCATTCATACACAGCAGCTTAGTGCAGTGTCCTTCACAATACAGAGTGAAATACATTAGCTTATTTAAAAAGTTTGCAAAGGCAATGGAAAAGAAATGACTTTATAAGCAGAATAGAAAAGTCAAGTGACAGCTTTTCAGATGGCAGTAAAGCTGCAAACTGGGTTGGGGAAGAAATGCTCCCTTCCTAAGAAGTGGTTTTATTATAGGAAGAAGTTGGCTGCTTTTATGAGATGATTTTAAGTGAGTTAACCTATGCTCGCATAGCTCCTTTACTAGTGAACAATAGTTTAATCCAGCTATCAGGTAATGTTGGCTTTTTGTAATCTTACATTAACTGTGTAATATCAAACTACTGAAACCAAGTAATGTACTGAACTGTGCCGTGGGAGCTGTTAGTTTGTCAGATAAATGCTTAACCTATAGGTTTATAAAAACCTTGGAAATATTTAAAAGATTTGCTTCACTGAAATTGTCAGCTGATTCCCTATAATTCACTCCTCCTATACATCTGCTATTAAAGTCTCTTAAAGGTGGATATTTGAAATGATATGGAGCATGCAAGCTCCCTCAAACTGCTTTGATCCTTGAGTTTGAAGTAGACTTGGTAGCTATCAACTAGGGATGTTAAGTGAGTATTTAACTAATCGTGTAGTCAATAGGGGAAGGTGCTCAGTCCCTTCCTGTGCCAGGTCCGGGAGCTATCCCCATTACCAGGGCTCGACAAATTGCTGTTTCTACTCGCCCATGGCGAGTAGATTTCTCCGCCATTTGTCAAGTCCTGCGCATTGCAGTTCTGCAGTTTAAATGTAGTAAGAGTTGGGTGGGCAGGCAGCCCGGCTCCTACTACATTTAAAATGCAGGACCGCAGCAGAGGGGTAGTTTCCAGACCCAGCTTGAGCTGGGACTGAGCGGGCTTGCTCAGTCCCGATGCATGCCAGGTCCAGCAGCAGGGCTGCTTCCA